ACCAGACTAGAGTCAAGCTCAACAGGGTCTTCTTTCCCCGCTAATTTTTCCAAGCCCGTTTCCTTGGCAGTGGTTTCGCTAGAAAGTAGATAGGGACAGAGGGAATCTCGTTAATCCATTCATGCGCGTCACTAATTAGATGACGAAGCATTTGGTTAAACTATGCGCCTGCGACCAGAAGGGTCGTGGCGGAATTCCGAGGATACCTCATCGTGGGGCTCATACTTTAAGGCTCGATTGCGTCGCGGGCCTACTTTCTAGCGAATCTGCCCGCGGTCTTGAAAAAATTAGGAACAGGGACCCTTTCGGGAGGCGCTCTTAGCCACACGCCATAGCGTGTCTTCTGCAGGGAATGCCTCGCGGAGGCGTCGCCCCAGGTTCTATATAATAGAACCTGCCCCGCGCCCTATACGCACAATAGTGCGTCAGGACTCGCACCGCTCGGTGTAAAAGGCCGAGACGGGCTAAGTGTCAGTCAGCTGGCAGCTGCCTCGTCTTATTATTATTTTCGACCATAAGTCTCGTTCGTTGATTAATATTGAGATTTGCCTTGCGGCTTCGTCAAGTGCTGTAAATGAGTAATAGATAAATTAAATAAATAAATAAATAAATAAATAGTTAGTAAGAGATGTGTAGATAATAAATAAATAAATGTTGTGTTATATAATAATTTGTATATGGCTTTGCTGGTTACGATCATGTGTGATCGTAGTCTAGAAATTGATTAGCCATCTCAATTGGCGATCGGAGGGCAATTAGCGAAGCCGTCAGGGCATGCTTTTTCTGGAGCTCTAGGACTTTTAGATTCTCAATAGTGGCTCGGGGCACTGCCCCTTTGCTCCCGATTACCACCGGTAGTAGACGGCCGTTATTGGCGATTAGTTTTCTTTTTAGAGACTCTATTAACCTTTTATATTTATTGTATTTTTCGTTATGAGCCTTCCTTAGAGAGTCATTTTTCTCGTATTGAACGGTTATATCGACTACGTAGACCGTGTCATGGTCTTTTATGACCATATCGGGTCTACACATTTCCCCGTCCATGATTTCGGGCTCCCTTAGAATTGTATTATTTTTGGGGATATTGTTCATTACTAGATCGCAAATTTCGTCGTGCCTTCTTTTTCTCTGGCTTTTTATGTGGGTACATAATCCCAATTGTATTATTTTAGAGGATACTGTTCATTATTAGATCGCAAATTTCGTCGTGCCTTCTTATTCTTTGGCTTTTTGTGTGGGTGCATAGTCCCAATATGCATCCTAGGGTCTCGGCCTGGACGCCGTATCTCCGACAGTTTATTTCTGTATCTTTTTTTGCTCTTCGGAGTGCGACTCTTGTTCCATATGTATTTGTTCTTAATCTTAGTGCGTCCAGGTATCTAGACGGCTTTAGTAGTTCGGAGTTGTACAGCCATTCGTTTCCGATTCTATCCCCGAAAAATTCTTTTATGCCTTGTCCTTGCGAGGCTAGCTGTTTCCATTTGTCGGTATCCGCCCTCTAGTTTCTTTCGTGCCGCTTCAATTTCGTCAACTTCACATGGCCATTGCAGGTTTATGGATGCTGCATACTTCTTGATAATTTCCTATATAATTGCCCATAGAATGCATTTTGGACTACTTTGTCATCCGACATTGTCATTTTTATTCCTTATTTCTTATTTTTGCTAGCTTGACAATGTTTGCCACCCGCTGTACACCCAAACCACCATGATTTTTGTTTATGTAAATTATGCCGTCGGTTGTAGACGGATGAAGGTGCAGTATTTCCTTTATTATTTGTTTTATTTCGTGGTCTATTTGTTCTAGGGTGCCCAGCGGGGGGGAATTGGCCACTAATTTGTGGATATATCTGGGCAAGAGGTAGGTCCTTATTAAATTGACCTTCTGATGCGGCTTCAGTTTTACATTTTTGACGCGCTTTGCTGCGTCTGCTTTTTCTTTGACTGAGATTCTGCATATTCCGCTCCATGGGTTAAGCGTAGTTTCTAGGTATTTGATTGCTTTTTCTGGGTCAGCGTATGGTATGCTTTGCTGACCCAGTGATAATTGTGGATTACCTATGAACCACGTCTTGTTTTTTTGCAGAATTTGAAATGTGGAGCATTTATCTGCGGATACTTCTATCTGAAGGTTGCTTAAGTATTCATATAATAGCCGATTTTTTTTGTAGGCTATTTCTCTGTTTTTTGCTAGGAGGACAAGGTCATCTGCGAAGGCGAGGACTGATATATTCTCGCCTCCGAGTTTAACACCCTCCGTCGTCTCGTCAAATATCCCTATTATGAGATCAAAAATCAAATTAAAATGTAGTGGCGACAGTGGGTCTCACTATTTGACTCCTCTTAGCACGTCCACTGGTATCTTGATATTGTTTTTACAATTTATTATTGTTTTGCATTCTTTATTGATGCTTTGTATATAATTACATACGAGTGATGGAACTCCATTTGCTTTTAGACCGTCTTCTATTGCGCTGTGGGGGACCGTATCGAACGCTTTTGTAATGTCGATGATTGTTATAACTCCACCTAGTTCCTCTTTCATTTTGGTGAGGGCATCGCTGAGGATGGCTATATTGTTTTTACAACCATCCTCTTTTGTGAACCCCTTCTGTCTTGGGTGCTGCCTCACTTTAGATCGTATTTTTATGTCGATCAGAGCCGAACACATTCTTCCCTAAAGAGACCTGATGGTAATTGATCTCCAGTTTCCGACTTGGTCCACGCTTTTCCTTTTTAGGTTTAGGAATAAGCGTGGTACGGTTTATCTTCCACTGTGCTGGGTATATTCGGTGCAGCATGAAGAGGTGGCACAGTTTGGCAAATACATGCAATGCTCTCTTCTTCCTCAGATGGAGTTTCTTGATTTGGTACCAGCAGCGGTATCGGCTTTGATTTTCTTAAATTTATTTATAAGGTCCCCTATTGAGATAGAGAATCATATATCGTTTGGTTCAATAGCAGTTCCATTCCTTGTTATTTTAATACCATTTTGGAGAGGTGGCTTTAGGATAGCTGCGTAATTCTTTGACAGATGTACCGCCCCAATCAAACTCCCCGTCTGGCAGTGTCCTCGAATCAGATCACGTAGAAGTATTTTTGACGATCGGCTGCGAAGACCTCACACCACTCTTACACGCTTGGCTCTAGAACACCGTGACAACCGGGTCGAAACACCGGTGCACGCGCTCCGCCCAACCGAGTAAGTAAAGAAACGATGAAAGTAGTGATATTTCACCGGCGATGTTACCATCTCCTACTTATGCTACACCTCTCATGTCTCCTTACAATGCCAGACTAGAGCTCAAAAGGGTCTTCTTTCCCCGCTAATTTTTCCAAGCCCGTTCCCTTGGCAGTGGTTTCGCTAGAAAGTAGATAGGGACAGAGGGAATCTGTTATCCACTCATGCGCGTCACTAATTAGATGACGAGGCATTTGGCTAAATTATGCGCCTGCGACCAGAAGGGTCGTGGCGGAATTCCGAGGATACCTCTTCGTGAGGCTCATACTTTAAGACTTTGTTATGTCGCGAGCCTACTTTCTAGCGAATCTGCCATGGGATCTGCCCGCGGTTTTGGAAAAATTAGGAACGGAGACCTTTTCGAGAAGCGCTCTTAGCCACACGCCGTAACGTGTGTCCAGGGAATGCCTCGCGGAGGCGTCGCCCCAGGTTCTATATGATAGAACCTTCCCCGCGTCCTATACGTATAATAGTGCGTCAGGACTCGCACCGCTCGGTGTAAAAGGCCGATACGGGTTAAGTGTCAATCAACTGGCAGCTACTTCATCTTGTTATTATTTTCGACCATAAGTCTTGTTCATTGGTTAGGTATTGAGATTTGCCTTGCGGCTTCGTCAGTTGCTGTGAAATGAATAATAAATAAATAAATTATTAAATAAATAAATGAATTAATAAATTTGTAAATAAATAAATGTATATTATGTGAATATGTTAATTTGTATATAATTTCGTAACGATCATTTTATGTGATGGTAGTTTAGAAATTGATTTGCCATCTCTACTGACGATCGGCGGGCAATTTGTGAAGCCGTCAGGGCATGCTTTGTCTGGAGCCCTAGGAGTTTTAGATTCTCAATAGTGGCTCGAGGCACTGCCCCTCTGCTCCCGATTATCACCAGTACATCTTTTGCGGTTAATTCTTTTTTAATGGCTTTATTAATCTTTTGTATTTATTACATTTTTCACTGTGAGTCTTCCTTAGGAAGTCGTTGTTTTCGTACAGTTACCGGACGGTTACGTAAACTGTATCATGGCATTTTATGATCATGGCGGTTTATTACTATATCGGGTCTACGCATTTTCTCGTCCTCCACGATTTCGGATTCCTTAAAAATTGTATTATTTCTGTAGACATTCATTATCAAATCGCAAATTTCGTCGTGCCTTTTTATTCTCTGGCTTTTCATGTGGGTGCATAGCCCCAATATGTGTCCTAGGGTTTCGGCCCTACACTTCCGATAATTTATTTCTGTTTTCTTTTTTGCTCTTTGGAGTGCTACTTTTGTTTCATATGTGTTTGTTCTTAGTTTTAATGCATCCAGGTATCTAGACGGCTTTAGTAATTCGGGATCGTATAGCCACGCATTTCCGATTTTATCCCAAAAAAATTCTTTTATACCTTGTCTTTGCGAGTTGCTTCCATTTGTCAGTATGCACCCTCTTTAATCTTTTTCGTGCGGCCTCGTATCTTCCCTTTCACAAAGCTATTGTAGGCCTATAGACGCAGCATATTTCTTAATGACTTCCTCTTGACCATAGAATGCATTTTAGACTGCTTTGTCATCCGATTTTGTCATTTGTAATCCATTTTTTATCATCTTGAGTTTTACAATGTTGGCGACTCGTTGGATACCTAGACCACCATGACTTATATTGGTATACATTATATCGTCCGTTGTGGACGGATGGAGGTGTAGTTCTTTTATTATTTGTTTAACTACGTAATCTATTTGTTCTAAGGTGCCCAGCGGGGAAGAATTAGCCACTAGTTTGTGGATATATCTTGGCAAGAGGTAAATCCTTATTAAATTAATTTTTGATGCGGTTTCAATTTTAGGTTTTAACATGCATTGCTGCGTCCGATTTCTTTAATCGAAGCCTGGCATAGTTCTCTCGGGTTAAGTGTGGTTCCTAGGTACTTAATTGCTTTTTGCATACGAAACACGTTGCTGACCCAATATCAATTGTGGGTTTCCTATGAACTACGTCTTATTTTTTTGTAAAATTTGGAAGGTGGAGCATTTTTCGGCAGATACTTCCATTTGCAGTTCATTTAACAGTATTTATATAACAGTCTATTTTGTCCATTGGTTATTTCTTTGTTTTTAGCCAAGAAGACAAGATCATCTGCGAAGGCAAGAACTGATATTTTCTCGCTTCTGAGTTTTACGCTCTCCGTCGTCTCATCCAATATCCCTATTATGGAATCGAGTATTAAATTAAATAATAATGGCGACAACGGATCTCCTTATTTGACTCCTCTCAGTATGTCCGCTGGTATTTGTTCGGTGTTTTTGCAATTTATTATCGTTTTACATCGATCGTACATGCTTTGGATGTATTTACTTAAAAACGGTGGAACTCCCTTAACTCTAAAGCTATCTCCTATTGCGTTGTGGGGAAACGTATCGAATGCTTTGATTATATCTGTAATTGTTATAACTCCACCTAATTCTTTTTTCATTTTTGGAAGGGCATTGCTGAGGATAACTATATTGTTTTTACAGCCATCCTATTTTGTGAAACCCTTCTGCCTTGAATGCTGCTTGACTTTGAATCGTAGTTTTTTATCGATCATGGCAGAATATATTCTTTCCAGCAGAGACCCGATGGTAAT